GGAATGGGATGGAGGGGCCAGCTCTGAGCCCCTGTTCCCCCCAGTGTGCCGGTTCACGGTGCACGAGCGCTGCGCCCGCCACGCCCCCCACAACTGCATCAGCACCTACGCCAAGAACCGCAGGGAGGCCGAGGTGAGTCCACCTGTCTGTCCGTCCCGCTGTCCGGCTGGGCACCTGTCCACCCACCTGGGCATCCACCTGTCTGTCCACCTGCCCCTCTGTCCTTCTGCTCGTCCATCCAGGATGAGGGTGCTGAGGGTTGGGGGGGGTGACCCTGGCAGTGGGGTGGGGGAGGGTGTGGGGGAGTGACCCCAGGGGTGACCTGGGGGGGGTCACCTGCAGGTCCAGGCCCACGTGTGGGTGAAGGGCGGCTGTGATGGTGCCAAGTGCAGCGGGTGCCAGAGGAAGATCCGGAGCTTTCAGAGCCTGACGGGGCTGCACTGTGTGTGGTGCCACCGTAAGGTGGGGGGGCCCGGGGTCCCCAGTTTCCCTCGGACACCCTGACCCCCCTGTTCCCAGACCCACGATGAGTGCCAGCCCCCTCCCCATGTTGACCCTGTGGTATCTCCATCCCTTTGGTGTCCCCATCCCTGTCCCCATGGTGTCCCTGACCCCACGCTGTCCCCATCGCTGTCCCTGTGGCCCCCCTGCTCCCTCTGTCCCCAGATCCATGAGGAGTGCCAGTCTCTCGTGCCCCCAGCCTGCGACTGTGGGGCCCTGCGGGACCACATCCTGCCTCCCGCTGCCATCTACCCCGTCCTGCTGGTGAGTGGGGTCCTGGGGGGGGCTCCTGGGGCAGGGGTGTGCCCCTCACTCCCCACCTGGCCTCCCCTGAGCCGGTGTGGGGGTCCCAGGAGAGGCAGGACAGCCAGAGGGACAACAGTGGGACCCCGGTGGAGGAGACCCCCCAAGTGTTCACCACCCCCGAGGGGCAGGCGCTGCGGGTGAGCCATGACCCCCCTGAATGTCTGGGACCCCCCTGGGGCCCCTCATGTGCTCCCTCGAGTCCCCTCCATGTCTCCCCTGGGGCCAGGCTGACTTCCCCTCTCCCCCAGGTCAGCCCCCCTCCCGAGACCCACCCGCTCCTTGTCTTCGTCAATCCGAAGAGCGGAGGGAAACAGGGGGAGAGGTAAAGGGGAGCTGGGGGCTCCTGGGGCTGCTCTGCACCCGGGGGGGGACACAGGATGGGGTGGGGACCAGGATGATGGTCAGACAGTATTTCGTTATGGTGGGGAGGGGGTGGCCACCAGTCCCCCCAGCCCCCTTGTCCTCCCCAAGCCCCCCCAGCTCCCCCTCTCCCCTCAGGGTGCTCCGGAAGTTCCAGTACCTGCTCAACCCCCGGCAGGTTTACAACCTGCAGCAGGGAGGCCCCATGCCTGGGTGAGTGGGGATGGGGCAGGGGAGGGCACTGGGGTATCTGGGGGGGCCCAACCCAGCCCTGACCTCCCCTCCCTCCCAGGCTCGATTTCTTTCGGGATGTGCCGGATTTTCGTGTCCTGGTGTGCGGCGGGGACGGCACCGTGGGCTGGATCCTGGACGCCATTGGTGGGTGCTGCACCCCCCAAAATGGGTGCTGCCCCCTCCAGCCCCCCAGGCTCTGCATCACCCCCTTTTCCTTGCAGACAAAGCCAACCTGCCCCACCGGCCGCCCGTGGCCGTGCTGCCCCTGGGCACTGGGAACGACCTGGCCCGCTGCCTGCGCTGGGGGGGAGGTGAGAGGGGCAGGGCAGCCTGGGGACACCCCCTGCACCCCCAGCCCCTCTCCCCCCATCCCACTTTCCCCCCCTGCCGCAGGGTATGCAGGGGAGGACCTGGGCAGGATCCTGCGGGAGCTGGAGAGCGGCACCGTGGTGCAGATGGACCGGTGGAGGCTGGAGGTGCTGCCCCAGGACCCGGCGGCCGAGGGGGACCCGGTGCCCCAGGGGATCATCAACAACTACTTCTCCGTCGGGGTGGTGCGTGGGGAGGGCAGTGGCCACCGGTGGGGCCGTGTGTCCCCCCCAGGGCCTCACTGTCCCCCCTGGGTTCCCCCCAGGACGCCTCCATCGCCCACCGGTTCCACGTCATGCGGGAGAAGCACCCGGAGAAATTCAACAGCAGGTGGGGGGGTGGGGACAGGGCCCCTCCCGTGGTGTCCCTGCGGTGTCCCCATCCCTGTCCCCTGTGGCATCCCTGTCCCCTTGGCATCCCCATCCCTTCGGTATTCTTATCCCCATCATGTCCCTGTGATGTCCCACATCCCCATGGTATCCCTGTCCTCATCCCCCTGGTGTCCCCATCCCTGTCCCCATCCCTCTGGTGTCCCCATCCCTGTCCCCATCCCCATGGTATCCCTGTCCTCATCCCCCTGGTGTCCCCATCCCTGTCCCCATCCCCCTGGTGTCCCCATCCCTGTCCTCATCCCTCTGGTGTCCCCATCTCCATGGTGTCCCCAAGCCTTTCCCCAGCCCCATTCCCACGGTGTCCCTGACCCCATCCCTGCCCTCCCAGGATGAAGAACAAGCTCTGGTACCTGGAATTTGCCACCTCTGAGACCCTTTTCTCCACCTGCAAGAGGCTCAAGGAGCACCTGAGTGTGGAGGTGGGAGGAGTCCCTGCCCCGGGATGGGGGGGGAGTTCAGGGGGCTCTGCTCGGCCTGACATGCCCCCCCCCAGGTCGGCGGGACCCCCCTGGAGCTGGGGGGAGCCCTGGAGGGGCTGGCAGTGCTCAACATCCCCAGCACCCATGGGGGGTCCAACCTGTGGGGCGAGACCCGGCGGGCGCCGGGGCCCAGCACGGCGCAGCCCCCCAACATCACCGACAGCGAGACCCTCCGGAGCTGCGTGCAGGGTGGGTGGGGAAACCCCCTCCCCAGAGCTGGGGGGGACACCATGGGGATAGGGGGGCCACCATGGGATGGGGGGGCATGGGGATGGGGACTGGGACAGGGATGGGGACTGGGACAGGGATGCCATGGGTACGAGGATGGGGATGACATGGGGATGGGACACCACAGGGATGGGGACAGAGGTGTCATAGGGACAGGGGACACCACAGGGACATCATGAGGATGGGAATGAGGGCACCACAGTAATGGGGCCAAGGACATCATAGGGATGGGGATGCCAAGAATCTGCCCCCACTGCCCTGACCCCCCTCTGTCCCCCCAGATCTGGGTGACAGGCGGCTGGAGGTGGTGGGGCTGGAGGGGGTTCTGGAGATGGGGCAGATCTACACCGGGCTGAAGAGCGCGGGGACACGACTGGCGACCTGCTCCGAGCTCACCCTGAGGTGAGGGGGGACCGGGGGGTCTCTGGGGGCTCTGGGGGGGTCCCAGGACAGGCCAGGCCCCAGCAGGGATTGACCCAGGGGGGTTTTGCAGGACACTGAAGGCCCTGCCCATGCAGGTCGATGGGGAGCCCTGGATGCAGCCACCCTGCACAGTACGTGGACTCCCCCCCCATCCTCACTGAGCCCCCCAGGAATCCCCCAAGTGTGGGGGGTACCCCCAGCCCCCCAGCCCCCCAGCCCAGCCTCTGTCTTGCAGATCAGGATCACCCACAAGAACCAGGTGCCGATGCTCATGGCTGCCCCGCCCCGTTCCTGTGGCTTCTTCGGCACCAAGAGGGGTTCCCTCGAGGCCTGAGGGGGTCGGGGGGGCCGGGGGAGCCCCCCCGGAGCTGTGCCTGGGCAGGCAACACAGGCCAACCCTCCCTACACCCCCTGTCCCCAGCAGGTGGGGACAGGGGGGGCTGCACAGAGCCCCCCAGGGTACAGCGCAGTGGCCAGAGCCCCCCACCCTCTCTGGCCCCCCCCGCTATTTATTACCCCCCCCAATTTCAAGTGCCTCTCGCAGTAATAAAGCTGGTGTTGTAATAAACACTGGGGCTGGTTGTGCCCCCCAGACCCCCCAGACACACAACCAGGTGGAGGCACCGGCGCAGCTGAGCCTTTAATCTTGGTGGCATCGAGGCCACGCCACCCCCCCACGGCCCGCGGCCCCCCCTGGGTCTGGGGGCTCGGGCCAGGCAGGGGCAGCGTGGGGTGGGGGGGGGTCTCTAGACGGTGTTCCCACGGAGGAGGGGGCTGCTCTCGCCACTGGGAGCCCCCCCGAAGGCCCGGTGCAGCAGGAGGCGGAGGGCAGGGCCGGGGGGCAGCCACCCCCTGGGCCGGGGGGCCGGAGGGGCCATGGCCAGCAGAGGGGTGTACTTGACTCGTCTGGGGGGACACGGAGGGGGTCAGTGTTGGGGGGGCCCAGGTTGTGCCAGGGTGCCCCCCCCACCCCACGGTGTATGTGTGTTCCCCCGGTGTCCCCACCACCCCACAGAGCCCCCCACTCCACAGTGTGTGTCCCCAAGTGTTCCCTCCATCCCACAGAGTCCCCCACCCTACATGGTGTGTCCCCCCATCCCACAAAGCCCCCCCAGCCCTATGGTGTGTGTGTCCCCCCTGCTGTGTGTCCCCCCGATGTCCCCGAGCCCCCCCAGCCCCCCTGACCTGTAGGTGTAGGCAGCTGTGCCCAGGGCAGCAGCGACGAGCACCAGCCCCACAAAAATCGTGGGGCTTCCAGAGGCCGGGGCAGCGCCTGCGGGCAGGGACAGCTCAGCACCCCCGGCCCCCCAGAGCCCCCCCATCCCCCCCGGCCCGTTCCCACCTCCGACAGCCACGCGGGTGCTGGCCACGGCCAGGCCGTTGCCGTTGGCCAGGGACACGTTGAGGCAGTAGAGGCCGGACTGGTTGAAGTCCTGGCGCAGCACGAGTTGGCAGCCGGGCGCGGGTGCCACGGCCGAGCACGTCTCCGCCTGCACCGTCTGGCACTCGGGGTCTGCCACCACCGTGCACACCTCCTGGGGGAGGCTGCGGGGGGCACGGGGGGGTCAGCTGATGTGAACCTCCCACCCCAGCGTGGGGTCCCGGCCCCGGCCCCCTCCCCATCCTCACCTCCCCTCGCATGTCACCGTCAGCTCCACGCTGTTCTCGCTGCCCTCGGGCACCACCGGCACCACCTGCACGATGGCCACGCTCTCGATGCCCTCTGCAATCAAGGGGTCAAGGTGGGCTCAGCTTCCCCTGTCCAGAGCCCACCCCAGAGCCCCCCGGCCCGGTACTCACGGACGATGTTGAGCTGTGTGGAGAAGGTGCCGTAGCGGTACAGGATGCAGCCGGTGGAGTCTGCGGCCGGTGCCTGGCGCTTCACCAGCACCAGCGGCTCGGCAGTGGCTCCAGCAGTGGCAGGAGCAAGGGACAGAGCTGTGGCTCCCACGGTTGCTCCCACTGTTGCTCCAGCTGTGGCATCAACCGTGGCTCCAGCTGTGGCATCAACTGTGACTCCAGCTGTGGCATCAACCGTGACTCCAGCTGTGGCATCAACCGTGACTCCAGCTGTGGCTCCAGCTGTGGCATCAACCAGAGCATCAACTGTGGCTCCAGCTGTGGCATCAACCATGACTCCAGCTGTGGCTCCCACTGTGCCTCCAGCTGTGGCTCCCACTGTGCCTCCAGCTGTGGCATCAACTGTGACTCCAGCTGTGGCTGCCACTGTGGCTTCAGCTGCAGGTCCAACTGTGACTCCAGCTGTGGCTCCAGCTGTGACTCCAGCTGTGGCATCATCCGTGGCTCCGTCCGTCTCTGCATCTGCAGGAGAAGAGGCTGGGAACGGCCGAGGGGACACCGAGCCCTCGGGACCACCCCCCAGACACGTCCTGCCACCCCCTGCCCAGGGCAGCACCCACCTGCAGCCATCGTTCCCTCCGAGGGCGCGGGGGCCACTGTGACCAGAGTGTCCCCAGCTGGGGCCACCGAGGTGGGGAGCAGGGGGGCCCCGGACACGGCGGCAGAGCCGGCCCCGGTGCCGGTCACCACGGTGCTGAATGCCAGGAGGGCGGGCTCGGTGACAGCGGGGTCTGAGGGCTCGGTGGCAGAGGGGGCCGAGGGCTCGGTGACAGTGGGATCCAAGGGCTCAGTGACAGAGGGGGCCGAGGGATCGGTGACAGCGGGATCCGAGGGCTCAGCTGCCGATCCCCCCGTGGGCTCCGCTGGCTCGATGCGGGGCGTGGGAGCTGCGGGCAGAGCAAGTGCCAGAGGTCACTCCTGTCGGGGAACACCCGTGGGGACCCCCAGACCCGCTGTGCCCCCTTACCGGTGCTGGGTGCCCCGGTGGTGCCCTGCTCGCCCGGCGTGGTGCCTGCGGGCTGCGTGGGCGTGGGGCGCACCGAGGGCGGGGGGCCCGTGGTGGGGTTCACGATGGGGGCGGCAGAGGTGCCGCAGGGGCTGAGGGGGATGGCGGCCTGCAGGGTCAGGCGGGCGGTGAAGGACCCGGCCTCCAGGTAGGTGTGGGTGACGGTGGGGCTGCGCGAGATGAGGGTCCCGCTCTGGTCCCCGAAGTTCCAGGAGTAGGCGACGTCGGCGTCGCGCAGGTACCGGCTGGGGTCGTGCAGCCGCACGGTGAAGGCCACGGCGCGGTTCCGCACGAAGCGCCCGTCGCCCGCAGCCGCGTCCTGCACCTGCTTCACGTCCACCGCAAAGGGAACCTGGTCTGGAGGGGTCAGGAGGGGCTGTCGGTGAGGCCATCATCATCACTGGTGCTAGTCCCGCCGCCCCAGTATCCGTCACCCTGACACCCGCCGCCCTGGCACCCACAACTCCACTGCCCGCGACCCCCCAGCACTCACCCGTGATGCTGAACTGGGTGCTGGCACGGCCGATGGGGATGAACTTCTGACGGCCACGGTAATGGTAGACAACGACCTCCATGGTGTAGGAGCCCAGGGGGACCCCGGCCGTGCCCACCGTGAGCCGCGACGCTGCCCCATCCACCACCTGCCAGTAGCGCCCTGTGGGGTGGGGCAGGGGGGTCAGCACCTCCTCAGGGCTTCCCCAGATCCAGGGGAGGGGGTCGGAGCCTCACCCCAGGTCCACCAGACGTAGACGAATTTGCCCTTCTTGCCCCTGGGGAAGGGCTGCCCGTCAGGGAAGATGCCACCCACATCCTCTTCCGGCTGCTCTGGAAAGACAGGATCGCCCTGGGCCACGCGGGTGCCTGCGGGGAGCAGAGAGTGAGGGGCGCAGGGCAGGGGTCCCGGGACGGGGGTGAGGGGTTTGGGGTGGCCGCTGACCGTTGACGGTGCAGTTCTGGCTCCAGACGACGCGGCCGTCGGGAAGCGCCGCCTGGGTGCCGGGGAAGCGCAGGGCGATGGAGAACGTGGCGTCGGCGCCCGCCATGGTGGGAGCGTCGTTGCTGATGTCGAAGGTGACCTCACCGCCTGCCCGGCACAGGGATGGGGGGCTCAGCGACGCGCCGAGACCCCCGCAGCCCCCACGGCCCCCCCAGGGCACCCACCTCGCCAGCAGTCGCGCATCCCCTCCTGCCACGGCCGGTACAGCCCCGTGTCCCACCTCCGGAACGCCGCCGGCCGCCCGCTCCAGGCCTGGCTCCGGCCACGGCTCCGGCCACCAGATCCTGTGGGACAAGGGCATTGTGGCACCCAGACCCCAGCCCAGCAGCCCCCCCGGGACGTGCTGGCCTCTCGGTGGGGTGTCCTCTGGGACCCCGGGCCATGTGACGGGCTCGGGCCAAGCCCCACGCGGGGCAAAGCCCATCACATGCGCCCGGTGCCGCCCCCAAAGCCCTTTCATGTGACGCTCAGCTGAGCCGGCGCCGGCAGCCCCGGGCAGGGTGGGGTGGGCGTCCCCCTCACGGCCTCCCAGTCCCGGGGGGCTGCCAGGTCCCCCATGTCCCCCATTGCCAGGGGTCTGCCAGGTCTCCCCATATGACCCCATTTGTAGGGGGCTTAAGGACCCCCCATGTCCCCCACTCACACAAGTCTGCCAGATCCCCCATGTCCCCCTCTCTCAAGGGTCCAAAGAGCCCTCCCATGTTCCCCTTCTCTCAGGGGCTGCTGGATTCCCATCACAGACAAAGCAGGGGCCCCCCATTTGTGGGCAGCAAGGGTTGTGTGTCCCCTGTTCACAGAGGGATGGGGACCCCTTTGTCCCACCCCACTCCTGAAGGGCTGGAGGTCCCCCCTACATCTTGGAGAAGGATGAGGACCCCACAACAAGCTCCCCAAGGCCTCCAAGGGGAGATTATTGATGTGTAATCAGGATTAGGCTTTGGAGGGTTCTGCTCCCGTCGGGGACCCCTGTAACCCTCAGAGCACTGGGATGGTCCCGTGTCATGCTCTGGGTGCTCCCCACATCCCCCCCAAGCCCCTACTTACGACGCTGAGCTGCAGCCAAGGCCAGGAGGGTCCCCAGGACCGCGATCACTCTGAGCACCCGCATGGTCCCTCTGTGTCGTCTCCCCCCACGCTTGGGCACCGCCGGGGTAGAGGCAAAGGCGTTGGGAACAGGGGGATTTGAAGAGGCTCTCATTTGCATAATCCCACCCCAAAAAAGGGGGGTCCCAGCACCTCCCCCGTGGGCTGCGTGGGGACACGTGTGTCCATGTGTGTGCGGCCCTGGTCACACGCTCCAGCCCTTCTCTGGGTGGGGGAGGAAATGCGGGGGAACACAGACACACTCCCCCCCAGCCCGAGGAGGGGCTTTGGAGGGGCTGCCCCCCTACTCTCCACACCTGGTGGCCCCAAGGACGCGGATTTGGGGTCCACGGGGACCCTCCACGCACCGAGCTTGGGGGGGCCCTGCTGTGCATGGTGGGGGGGGCACGAGTGGGGAGACCCCCGATCTGACACATATAGAGGGGTCCCCGATCCCATCGACTTGGGGGGACCCCCAATTTGACACCCGTGGACAGACCCCATCCCACCGACACGGAAGGGCCCTGGCATTGCACGTTCAGGGGGATCCCCACCGGTGACACGAGGGAACGCCGATCTTTTCTGCTGGGGGTGTTTCCAGCGCCCACCCGGGACTCGGACCCCGGGGGGGTCCAACCCGCGCCCGTGGAGGTCCGTGTGCTTGGTGTGACTGCTCGTGAGGGACAGTGCCCGCGGGGCTGCGTGTGCGG